CCTTTTTCTATTACATGACTTTTATCGCTCAGAAAGTCAATAATTATGTCCTGTCATAATAAATAGGTACTATAGAATGGTGGGGTACTGAATGGAAGAGGTGAAAAGGAGAAGATAGGAGGGGATTCAGTTGTGGAGACAACTGGAGGGCATAGAACAACCAATAACCAGTCAACAATTTAAAAATTTTATGGAGTTCGTTACATCATTACCAATAGAATTGACTATTTTTATGTTTCTAATAAAATCCTTCATTTCGTTTAAAAAGTCGTCATCTTCTCCTTATATGTTTTAGAATTTAAAATATCAAACAATTTATTGAATTTTTCAGTTACTTCAATTGTCCCAATACATTCGTTCGAAATTACATTTAAAGATACATAAAGCTCTAAAGCACTTGCGACAATGTGGCTAATAACTTAGGCAGCAAGTTTTACTTTCATTTTTTGAAAGTTTGTGGAATTTATACGTGATTGTGTTAACTTGGGCCCTAATTTATTTCTTTGTAATGAATCCCTTTCATAGAAATTTTCTATGAAACTCCAGAAAGTTTTTTCCCATCAAATACAAAATGGTGTTTTAATATTATTTCTAGTTGCTTTCAAGAGGTGTGGGGTATCAAAAATAAACGGTATTTCTTGTCGATTTAGTAAAATATAAGGTTATTCTGGTGGTATTTTGAAATTGTCATAATACATCTTACTTGCAGGCCTACATTCGTCAAATTATTAACACATTTTTGGATTGTCTCTTGAAGGAACGTTGCTGTGCAAGATGATTTTATAAAAAAATATCCTAGGGGCAGTTTCCAGTTGCTATGAATACCTCTTGTCATGAAGACATTAGCGTTACGTGCTGAATAATTTTCTGTATTATTATCTCCTAAACTCTCTACTACCCCAACAACCTCATTACTAAAGAATTTGTGGCTCTATATTTAACTCTTTGTGAACCATGTCAAAAAAAATTAAGTGTACCAACGAAAGGGCTACTGGTTAAGCCTATAGAAAGTAGCGAATTTAACTCACGATGCCAAGTCGACTTGATCGACATGCAAGTTCCACCAAGTTTGTGATTCTCAGATCACTAAAAACAAAGTGAGCCGAAGAAGTCGCATATCATTTGCTAAATATCTTCACAATATTTGGAGCGCCATGCATTTTGCACAGTGACAATGGCAGTGAATTCGTAAATAAAGTTATTGCCGAACTATGCCAAATTTGGAAGAACCCAAAATTGTACATGGCAAACCCCGTCATAGCCAATCTCAAGGCTCAGTAGAAAGAGCAAATCAGGATATAGAAAAGATGGTTTTTACATGGTTAGAGACAAATAAAACCACAAAATGGTCGGAAGGACTAAGATTCGTACAGTTCATGAAAAACAGAGCATATCACTCCGGCATCGAACGCAGTTCTTACGAAGCTATGTTTGGCTCCAAACCCAAAGTAGGTTTAAAATCAGTCTTACCATCATTTGACGGATTGCCGGAAATTGTAAGTGAAGAAGACCTTGAGACAATGTTAAAAGATGCTGATTCCGGTGAAGGTCAAAACATAATTTTAGACAGAGCGCATGACAACAATAGCACAGATAAAAACTTAGCCGTTATTACTCATTCTATTTCTGTTACGATTAAACCTCAACCTCGTTCTGAACCGGAACAACTTTCTGCCGATACAATAATGACGAACCTCAGCCAGAAAATCAACAACCTACTGTGGACACAATAAGTGAAAACCCTCGACCAGACGATCAATAGCCTGTTTCTGCCGATATGATTAATGATGAGGAAAATACTGATAATGAAAAGGCTGTATGTTTACTGAACGAAGTATCAAGCAAAATTCGAGAAGTTCGCAGCTAAAGTATCACTTGAAAAGCAAGCTGAAAAAATGTTGGTGCGTTCAAATACAAAATTTCCTGTTGCAGAAATAGGCGAAAGCGTTCGAATCAGTTCGTTCAAAACCTCTACAAACGAAGAAACGAAACATGGTATTTGAAACCAGCTGTACTCCAGAAATGAATTTACTGTATGTAAAGAAAAGTTAATTTTTATGGACGATGTTCCAAAAATTGATATCACTCTTCGCGAATGTCTTCGAAAAGTTCTTTTTGTAATTCGCGACGGTAATGAACGCTATTACAGTACTCAAACGGGTGCTGTAATGACACTCTTTGCAGCATCCGATGCTGTAATGAGATTTTAGTAACATTTTATGGAACCAGTTCAAGTTGGTGACATTGGGTTATTAATTTTTCTAGTTGTCAATGTGACAATTTAAATTGGAATTTATACCTAGTAAAATTGAAAATTATTAATAAATTCAGGAAGTAAGTTTTGTTCAATGTAAAATACATTTAAATTTATTAAAATCAATTAATTCGAGAACGAACATCGCGGGTTTAAACCATGTTGAAACCGCGAAAAATATATAAGAAGGAGCTCAAAAAGAATAATATCCGGCAATTATCATATATTATACAACAAGACGATCGAAAATACTCGATAATACGAGACGTATTGCCTGAAACACCACGAGACCGAAGGTCGAGTGGTGTTTTTTAAGGCAATACGTCGAGATTCGAGTATTTTCGATTGTCGTGTTATATATGGCTAGACTATTTCATGAATAAAAAATATACATATTTTTAGAATTTTAATATTTTTTTAAAAAATCATATTGATTGTTTTCGAAACATTCATGGATGTCACGAAATCAATGAAACGTCAAACAAGCGATAATACAAAGGTTCGTACTATCGTTCTCCATGGTTACGGCCAAATAACCGCTGAAATACTCGCAATTGACGGAAAACCGCGAATTCTTATTGGCTGTTAACGTTAGGAATGAAATAGTCAATAATATTTTAATTAAAGGACAAGTTTAGGGAAAGAAATAGTAGCAAGAAAAAAGTAAAGATTTAAATTTAAAAGTTGTAATAATTTTGAACACATTGGTGATGACGTATCGATAGTTGACGTTGTTGTACGACTTTTTGAATTGTGTTTAGAATACTATTTACGAATGTATAAGTTAAATTTAAGGTTATAATAAAATTGGAGATAGCTGAACAAATTCAGTTTTTGAACACAAAATACAACAAAAACAAATAAAAAACAATCTTACTAAATGCTCGATGCAAATGAACAATTATTGTAAACTTTAATGTCTACCGTTGAACTGTCTTTAGCCTCAATAACAATACCATGTGCGGTGGCTACATTTTGTTCAATATTTTCACTACCTTTGATAGTGATATTATCATTTGTTGCTGGGTTTGTGTTTAAGATATTTGCAACATCAATTTTATTTTTTAAAGAAGAATCAACATATCCTTCCGCAACTGCTGAACTTTTCCAACCACCTAAACGTTTTATGATCAAAAGGTCACCACCACTGTTTGCTATATGTGTAGCACTAGATCTTCTAAAACAATGTCCAGTATAAAGTTGAGGATCTGGTAAGTGAAGAAATTTGGCAATTTCTCTAGAAACATTTCCTATGGTATTAATACCAATGGGCTATTAATGCAATGTCCATTACGGTATGTTAAAAAGAACCGTTTATGTGTAGCATTCTTCGGTAGAAGTTTGCTATAGTCTTTTATCAAAATTATCCAATTTTTGTCCGTTATGACAAACATTCTAGGGACATCATTTTTTGTCAATCTGATTTATAATGAAGATCATCCGCACATATATTTAATAACTCTTCCCTTCGACATGCCCCATTGTACCCCATTTTTAAAATTACCTAAAATAACTTAGTAAATTAGCCACAAAAATCACTAGAAAGAAAGATGTACATACTTTCACAGCTAAATACACTTTATTATTAGCTTCCTTTATAAATTTAATGATATCGTCATATTCTCAAATTTTAGATTTTTTGGGTACGTAGCTTTTTGATAATTTTTTTAAGAGGAATTGAAGTTTTTTATATTTTGTTATATCCACATCTTTATGGATGTTTAAACACGTTTTTACAATGGAATACAAGGTCCACAATGATGAGGACTTATATTTTTTTCCCTGAATTTCAAAATATGCAATCAGCACATTTTCTGATATTTGTTTAATCGTCTTCTCTTCGCACCAGGAATTAAATTTAGCATACTTTTGCAATTTTGAATTACTTCAACTGTCCCAATACATTCGTTCGAAATTACATTTAAAGATACATAAAGTTCTAAAGCACTTGCGACAGTGTGGCTAATAACTTACACGGCAAGTTTTACTTTCATTTTTTGAAAGTTTGTGGAATTTATACGTGATTGTGTTAACTTGGGCGCTAATCTAATTCTTTGTAATGAATCCCTTTTATAGAAATTTTCTATGAAACTCCAGAAAGTTTTTTCCCATCAAATACAAAATGATGTTTTAATAAATTATTTCTAGTTGCTTTCAAGAGGTGTGGGGTATCAAAAATAAACGGTATTTCTTGTCGATTTAGTAAAATATAAGATTATTCTGGTGGTGTTTTGAAATTGTTATGCACTTGAATAAAATTGCTTCCCGTATCAGTCATAATACATCTTCCTTGTAGACATTCGTCAAATTATTAACACATTCTTGGATTGTCTCTTGAAGAAACGTTGCTGTGCAAGATGATCTTATAAAAAAATATTCTAGGGGCAGTTTCCAGTTGCTATGAATACCTCTTGTCATGAAGACATTAGCGTTTCGTGCTGAATAATTTTCTCTATTATTATCTCCTAAATCTACTGCCCCAACAACCTTATTACTAAAGAATTTGTGGCTCTGTATTTAACTTTTTGTGAACCATGTGAAAAAAAATTAAGTGTACCAAAGAAAGGGCTAGTGGTTAAGCCTATAAAAAGTAGTGAATTTAAGTCACGATGCCAAGTCGACTTGATCGACATGCAAGTTCCACCAAGTTTGTGATTCTCAGATCACTAAAAACAAAGTGAGCCGAAGAAGTCTTTTTGCACAGTGACAATGGCAGAGAATTCGTAAATAAACTTATTGTCGAACTATGCCAAATTTGGAAGAACCCAAAATTGTACATGGCAAAGCCAGTCATAGCCAATCTCAAGGCTCAGTAGAAAGAGCAAATCAGGATATAGAAAAGATTGTTTTTACATGGTTAGAGACAAATAAAACCACAAAATGGTCGGAAGGACTAAGATTCGTACAGTTCATGAAAAACAGAGCATATCACTCCGGCATCGAACGTAGTTCTTACGAAGCTATGTTTGGCTCCAAACCCAAAGTAGGTTTAAAATCAGTCTTACCATCATTTGACGGATTGCCGGAAATAGTAAGGAAAGAAGATCTTGAGACAATGTTAAAAGATGCTGATTTCGGTGAAGGTCAAAACATAATTTTGGACAGAGCGGATGACAACAATAGCACAGATAAAAACTTAGCCGTTGTTACTCATTCTATTTCTGTTACGATTGAACCTCAACCTCGTCCTGAACCGGAACAACTTTCTGCCGATACAATAAATGACGAACCTCAGCCAGAAAATCAACAACCTACTGCGGACACAATAAGTGAAAACCCTCGACCAGACGATCAATAGCCTGTTTCTGCCGATATGATTAATGATGAGGAAAATACTGATAATGAAAAGGCTGTATGTTTACTGAACGAAGTATCAAGCAAAATTCGAGAGGTTCGTGACGCAGCTAAAGTATCACTTGAAAAGCAAGCTGAAAAAATGTTGGTGCGTTCAAATACAAAATTTCCTGTTGCAGAAATAGGCGAAAGCATTCGAATCAGGGTACCAGATGTAGATCGGGCCAAGACGGATAGTCGTAATATAATTGCTATCATTATTTCTGTGGAAAAAGAAAACCTCTACAAACGAAGGAACGAAACACGGTATTTTAAACCAGCTGTACTCCAGAAATGAATTTCTGTATGTAAAGAAAAGTTAATTTTTATTGACGATGTTCCAAAAGTTGATATCACTCTTCGCGAATGTGCTCGAAAAGTTCTTTTTGTATTCGCGACGGTAATGAACGTTATTTCAGTACTCAAACGGGTGCTGTAATGAGACTCTTTACAGCATCCGATGCTGTAATGAGATTTTAGTAACATTTTATGGAATCAGTTCAAGTTGGTGACATTGGGTCATTAATTTTTCTAGTTGTCAATGTGACAATTTAAATTGGAATTTATACCTAGTAAAATTGAAAATTATTAATAAATTCAGGAAGTAAGTTTTGATTAAAATCAATTAATTCGAGAACGAACATCGCGGGTTTAAACCATGTTTAAACCGCGAAAAATATATAAGAAGGAGCACAAAAAGAATAATATTCGGCAATTATCAATATTATTTTAATTAAAGGACAAGTTTAGGGAAAGAAATAGTAGCAAGAAAAAAATAAAGATTTAAATTTAAAAGTTGTAATAATTTTGAACACATTGGTGATGACGTATCGATAGTTGACGTTGTTGTACGACTTTTTGAATTGTGTTTAGAATACTATTTACGAATGTATAAGTTAAATTTAAGGTTATAATAAAATTGGAGATAGCTGAACAAATTCAGTTTTTGAACACAAAATACAACAAAAACAAATAAAAAACAATCTTACTAAATGCTCGATGCAAATGAACAATTATTGTAAACTTTAATGTCTACCGTTGAACTGTCTTTAGCCTCAATAACAATACCATGTGCGGTGGCTACATTTTGTTCAATATTTTCACTACCTTTGATAGTGATATTATCATTTGTTGCTGGGTTTGTGTTTAAGATATTTGCAACATCAATTTTATTTTTTAAAGAAGAATCAACATATCCTTCCGCAACTGCTGAACTTTTCCAACCACCTAAACGTTTTATGATCAAAAGGTCACCATCACTGTTTGCTATATGTGTAGCACTAGATCTTCTAAAACAATGTCCAGTATAAAGTTGAGGATCTGGTAAGTGAAGAAATTTGGCAATTTCTCTAAGAACATTTCCTATGGTATTAATACCAATGGGCTATTAATGCAATGTCCATTACGGTATGTTAAAAAGAACCGTTTATGTGTAGCATTCTTCGGTAGAAGTTTGCTATAGTCTTTTATCAAAATTATCCAATTTTTGTCCGTTATGACAAACATTCTAGAGACATCATTTTTTGTCAATCTGATTTGTAATGAAGATCATCCACACATATATTTAATAACACTTCCCTTCGACATGCCCCATTGTACCCCATTTTTAAAATTACCTAAAATAACTTAGTAAATTAGCCACAAAAATCACTAGAAAGAAAGATGTACATACTTTCACAGCTAAATACACTTTATTATTAGCTTCCTTTATAAATTTAATGATATCGTCATATTCTCAAATTTTAGATTTTTTGGGTACGTAACTTTTTGATAATTTTTTTAAAAAGTTTTTTATATTTTGTTATATCCACATCTTTATGGATGTTTAAACACGTTTTTACCATGGAATACAAGGTGCACAATGATGAGGACTTATATTTTTTCCCTGAATTTCAAAATATGCAATCAGCACATTTTCTGATATTTGTTTAATCGTCTTCTCTTCGCACCAGGAATTAAATTTAGCATACTCTTGCTCGTATCTTTCGTGAGACTTCTCTGGAAATAATGTTTTAACAGTACTCTTAGCAATTTCTTTTATTTCGGGAGGTGTACATGAAAGATTTTTATCGGATGAATACATTTTGTTTTGACAATTTTTAAATGTCAATTCAAATTTCTATTTTCAAGTGTTACCAACTGCTACATACCTATTACCCTACATTGTCAAAATTTATTTTATTTTTGTTAAAAAAAAGAGATAAAAACGCGAATTACAAAAAATAGCATAAAAAACACGTTTCGTAAGACTTAAAGCACCCATTCATTAAAAAACTCGTGGCTTCGCCACTCGTTTTTCAACTTGAATTCGTGCATTTCAAGCGTGTCTTACGAAACTTGTTTTTTAATATACTATTGTTCTTTGAAATTCAAAATGTCACAAAAGCTCTCCTTGCAAAAATAAATAATTCTAATCTTAATAAAATCCTTGCACAATTCTAATTTTTAAACTTTTGTTCAGAAGTAATATTTTGAACTACTATTGAACGCGCAGTATAAGAAAAGAACTGGGTTTTAATAAAACGGTGCTGGTTCAGACATATAAAGAATGGCCTTAAAGCGTAGAAAAATGTGGGAAAAAGTAGAAGAAGGTAGTAAAAAATACAAGAAGGTGGTTAAATTAAGATACGTTTAATTTTCACTTCACTAAAATGCTGGTTTTAAACGAATTCATCGATGCGTACGATACTGAGGTCGCGTTAAGAAGAGGGTGAGCGCATGCTCTCGTGTTAAGATATCAGAGCCCAATTAAGCGCACGCACATGCCTGTAAATAATTCTTAGGGTGACGCGGCGCGAACAACTATGCTGAATTGTTTTTTTTACCTTTCAATAAGAACAAAAACAATACAGTTTATCTGTTTTATTATTTTGCCTTAGATCATTATTCATACTGACCGGGAAAAGTAATAATTAGTTATGCAGTTTTACTTACATTGCCCACTTGATACTGGCGTTATGTGTACAGATCGGTCATTATTCATAGTGACCGGACTTCTCAAGGTGCCAATAACAAATACACCAAAATAATCGCACAGGTTATAAGCATAAGCGTTAAAGTAAATGTGAGGTTATTTTAAAATAACCGTTGGTTATTGTGAACCCTTGTTCTTATGGAATAATTTACCACCAATAGCATCAATACCGTACTTCCTCGCAACGTAATGGCGTCAGATTTTGTGGGATACCGCCAGTGACACTTCTGGTTGTTCTGTGTTGGTGGGCAGGGGAGGAGGTTGGTGGCCAGATTTAGGTGTGGTAACAATGAGAGGGCCAATAGATATTGGATGGAGGATGAAGAGAGAGAGTATAGACTGTGTGGGGAGAGCTGGGAGTCGATACCATTCGCTAGTCAGTGGTGAGTTGAGAGAGGAAGTGATGGACTAGTGACTGATGCTGGGGGAGAAAGCAGAGGGGAGGAGATGGATGGGGACGTTGGTGGCAGCGAGGATACGGAGAAAGGTATGGGATGCTGGGGAAAAGAGTTGGATTTATAGACAATCTGTATGTATTGTAATCCACTGATGGCAATAAATTATTATTCTTATTAATTATTATAATTGCTCAAGGCGCAGTTAATAATAATAAATTAAAATTATTAAATTAAATTTTAGTTTTTATTTTTTAAATACATTACTATAACAAAATGATGAAAATTTGCGATGATTAATTAAAGCAGCAATTTAGAAGCCGAATCGTTTACCAAATCGCAAAAACACGTGATCAACTGCCTGTCTCTTGATTCCACGTTCAGAGTGCTTATGCTCATTGGTACCACCTACAACGCAAAAAAAAATTCAAAAAGAATTAAATTAACTGTGATATTATTACTCATATTTTCTTGTAATCTCAAGTTGTCCATAACATAATAACAAAGTTGTTGGAGATTACTCGAAGCTTCAGATAACGAATTAGGCTCGCAGTTAATGATGGATACTGAAACGACCGATTTTGAAAAGCAGAGTAACGTCAGGGCAAAAATAACTAAATGATTCATTCTAAAAAATTAACTCTATTAAAATTTCGTTTATAAAAACTTGTTGATCTTTACCTTTTTTGAGCTTACTTGAAGAACTTGTGAACTTTAGTCGTTTGATGTGTGCGTTTAGCTTGCGGGATGTTTTATAAGGACGCGTCGTTGTTTCGCGCAACTCTTTTCATCAGTTTTCTCTTCATCTTTTTCAAATACTAAATATTAGAATATGTCGATGTAAGCGTTGATGCGTGAAATCATAAACATCAAATGTGTCATCTAAAAATAGGTGCTAAATATTTATGATAAATTCGTTTTTGATTTTTAATAAACAAATCCAATTATAGAAAATGTAAACTTTCTTGTATTCCTTAAACAATATTTTGTATTGTATTATTTTAAAATTAATTAATTACAATTTACAATTGCCGATGCATCATGAGAGAATTGGCGAAAAATGGGAGCTCAATTGCGAGTGGTTTTTGAGTAATATGAAGGAAAATTAGAATGTTTTTGAACGTTGATACATCCGTTTCGTTCCAATCAATGTTATACAGTGCGTTTCAAAAGTAACGGATAAATTCGATAAAATTATTATAAACAATTTATGAAAAAATCGCTGAAACGGGTCTAAAGATTTAAATTTTTTGGTGTGTATTTTAAATTTTTTCCGCCATTTTTAAACGAGTTATAACGTCATCGAAGTTTTGTTTAAATGGAACACCCCATTTTTTATATTGGAATTTGAACGAGAATTTTTTTCTGAATTATGTGCAATAAATATTAATATCGGATACATAAGAAAATTTTCGAGAAAAATTAATTTAAACTTTTATTATTTCCCATTCATTTGATATAAAAAAATAGTAGTAGCCTTGCGTAACCATGGCAACCAAATGTTTTGATTTAAAATTTCCAAGTGTCAAAATTCGATTTGAAACAGTGTATTGTGCTTTAATGAGATTATTTTGAGTAGTATTGTGGAGTTTCTTGTGTTAATTGTTGTTATTCATTGTTATTCGTTGTTATTTGTTGCTATTTGTTTATATTCATCGCTATTCGTTGTTACTTTTTGTTGTTATTTGATCTTATTGTTTATCTATTATTGATTATTTTTTATTTATTGACTGTTCGATAAGTAAGAAATTAATAATGACGCTTACTGAAACTGAAAGAATCGAGATTCTTATGATGATTGATTTCGGAAATAGAGTCCGAACGTATAACGAAGTCCGTGCGTTGTTTAACGAAAAACATCCAAACCGTACTCCAATATCACTATCGACAATAAGTCGAATTGAGAGTAAATTTCGCGAACTTGGTCATGTACGAGATAAACCTAAGACCGGACGTCCATTGGCCGTAAATGAAGATCGTCAATTAGATGTCCTGTTAAGTGTAGAGGAAAATCCGCATTCAAACATCTCCAATATTGCTGCAAATTTAAATACATCTAGAAGCACAATATCAAGATTTCTTAAGGAAAAATAAATCACCCCTACAATGTACACTTGGTGCATGAGCTTTCTGATGACGATTTTGATCGACGCGTGCAATTCTGCGAAACAATGACGGAACTATGCTACGCAACTCCGGAATTTATTAAAAACATTCTATTCTCCGATGAAGCAACATTTTGTTTAAATGGCACCGTCCATAAGCAAAACTGCCGTTATTGGGCAGTAGAAAATCCCTATTGGAAAGCCGAGGCAAATACACAGTATCCCCAAAAGGTGAATGTGTAGGCTGGAATAGTGGAGAACAGAATTATTGGACCGTATTTCGTTAACGGAACAGTAGGTGGTGAACAGTATTTGAATTTCCTTCAATTAGAATTAATTCCAAGTTTACTTGCAATTTTTCCAAATGCAGAAGATGCAGAATGAGAAATAATAGAACTTTAAATTAATTTTTCTCGAAAATTTTCTTTTGTAACCGATATTAATATTTATTGCACATAATTCAGAAAAAAAATCTCTTTCAAATTCCGATATAAAAATGGGGTGTTCCATTTAAAAAAACTTCGATGACGTCATAACTCGTTTAAAAATAGCGGAAAAAATTTAAAACATACACCAAAAAATTATAAAAAATTCAAATCTTTAGACCCGTTTCAGCGATCTTTTCATAATGGTAAAAACCGTTAAAGACGCATTAAAAATAACTTTAGGTAGAGCATACGTCGAACGAGACGAATCAGAAACTATTTTAATAGAAATCGATGCGACAATAAATTCTCGTCCACTTACATATATCAGTGATGACTCAACAGATTTGACTATATTATCTCCTTCTCATTTTTTGACTGGAAAGACTGAAGTAGGATTATGTATGAATTTAACCTCGAAGGAGATAAGTAGATCTGAAATATTGAAAAGGTGGAGAGATAGAGAGAAAACGTTGAAAAGATTTTGGGACAGGTGGCGTTCCGATTGTTTACAACAATTGCGGACAGCACATCTAAGAAAATCGATAAATGCCAAATCATTGAATATTGGGGATGTTGTTTTGGTGCAAGAAAACAGTTCTAGGTTGCAGTGGAAGATGGGCAGGGTTGTGAATTTGTACCAAGGTAGAGATAATAAAATAAGGGCATGTGAAGTAAAGTTAAGTGGCGGAACTACATTACGACGACCAGTCCAACTCTTGTACCCTTTGGAGGTACAAGCCCTTTCGCCTGGGGAGGATGTGGAGAATTTAGAACGAATTAAACGAAGCTAGGGGAATCCCTGGTTGCGTGGAACATATCGGCGCAGCGACAACCGATAACCAGTACGACTCGAACAGACTCGAACCAGCGAGGTGTAACGTTGTTCGAAGCGCATCGCACCCCTACTTTATTATATGTCTTATTTTCTGTTATTTCTATATAAAGTTACTTTGTTGTGTTTTAAAGAGTAAATAAGTAAGATTTTTATGAACCGTGGTGAGTTTTATTCAACGATTTCCACAACATCTTTAGGTACTATGGTCAGAAATGTTCGCAATTTAATAGTGATTTTTTTAATAATGTATTCCTCATGAACCATGCTACTATAGCAGTCACAAATCGAACAAAGTCGTTAGTTTTGCAAAAAAAAGTATTAGTTTGAGTTAAGATTGAAAGAATCTATGTCTATTAAGTTTGACACACGATTTCTAAACAAAGGAGTAGTACAACACCCTTGGCAAGTTATTTTAAAAGATGGCCTGTTTAGTCAAGATTCCAAAATGGTATAAACTTGCCATTTTTCTTTTCCTAAAAAATATTATTGCCTGTTTTTCTGCAAAAAACGCGTTATTTAAAAAATTTATACTTTCGTATGTTATATGTATTTAATCCAAAATGATTTAACAACTTTGTTAGAAGATGTGGCACTCAATATCTACCGAGAAATGTGGTTTCAACAAGATGGTTGCCCAGCTCAATATGCTTGCCCTGTACGGGTTTGCAAACAGAATACCCAGAAAGATGGATTGGGCGTCGTGGTTCGATTACGAGGCCTCCTCATCCTCTGGGTCTAAGTCCCCTTGATTTTCTTATTAGGATTGCATAAAAGAAACAATGTATTAAAAACCGATTGAAAATCTTGCCGAACTGCGCCACAATATTTATACAGCAGCATAAGAAATAAATACAAAGAGATTTGCACAAATAGTAAAAAGATCTTTTCTGTGACAATGCAGAGCTTGTATTAGTGCCGACGATAAATTATTTGAGCATTTGCCTTAGTTTTAAGAAAATAATGATATAAAATTAATAATAAATAAATTTGTTTGTTTAATTTTGTCTTTAGGTTAACCTTATTTGAAAGAGTCTTTTTGCAAGACATAAGGGCAACCATCTTGTTGAAACCACATTTTGTTGTTCGTAGGTATTGACGGACACATCTTCTAACAACGTTAAGAGGAAATAAAAAGTAAATACAGATAACATAAAAAAGTATGAATTTTTAAATAACGTGTTTTTTGCAGAAATAATGCAATAATATTTTTTATGACAACAAAAATGGCAAGTGTTGTACCATTTTGGAAACTTGACTAAATAGGCCATCTTTTAAAATTACTTGCCAAGGGTGTTGTACTACTCCTTTTTTTAGAAATCATGTGTCAAACTTGAGAGATATAAATTCTTTCAACCTTCTTAACTCAATCAAATTAATATATTTTTTTGCAAAACTAACGACTTTTGTTGTTTGATTTGTGAGTTCTACAGTAGCATGGTTCACAAGGAATACATTATTAAAAAAATCACTATTAAATTGCGAGCATTTCTGACCGTAGTACCTAAAGATATTATGTACGGGACCGATTTTTAACATTTTCAAAAGTATGTCTGTTACCACTTAACTAAGAGACATGGAATTTTTTTCTCATTTTTACCAGAACAGGTATGGGTTGGCCTCTCACCCGGCGCCCGATTGACGTTGAGTTTCGGGACACCTGTATATACAGGGTGTATCTGAATGACTGTAACAAACTTCAAAGGGTGATTCTTTAGTGAATTTTAAGGGTACTTTGATATATAAATCATGGGCGACTTCGGCCCCCTGGGAAGCTACGCCTCTCCAAAAATGGCGGAAAATTTTGGTTTAATTTTTTTTTCTCAAAAACCATAAACGCTAGGAAATAAAATTTGGGGAATATGTTTAACTCATAATAGGGCATGTTTTGACCCTATTTGTACTTTCAACCTACCCTTCTAAACTACTAAACGTAACCACCCCCTTTACATTTTTGCTAAAATTTTTGTTATGCAGATGATAAATACATTAAAAAAATTATACATAGATAGATGAAAATATCCTAAAACTCTAGATCGTTCTTGGGTTATGTTTAGGAATTAAGGCGTGATTCATGGCTTAAATTAAATCCTCTTTTAAGTTTAAAATTGTTTATTATCTTTAAATACATTTCATTACAACTTGTTTTAAACTAGGCACCCTATTTAAATGTTGTAACGGTTATAATAAGTACTTTTCCAATATGTATTACTTTGGAATATTTAATACCCAATTATAAAAAACATAAACTTTTCGGCATTCCTTTGAAAATAGATTTGATATTATAATTTTAAAAGTATTTGGTCTTATAAATTACTTACTTTAGCTGCTGCTGCATGCGATATTTGCCCGAAAATAGGGACTTCA